ATCCAAATATTGATGCTTTACCTTATCTCGTTCATAAAAACAGTTGTAAAAAAATTGCAAAATAAACTCTTTAGAAGTGCACTACTACTTATTGTCAAGTCCTTTCCATTGAAACCCACGATGAGATAATTATACAAGATTTTACTCTGAGGTAACGGTATAATATTTTTGCCCACTGAAAATAAAGCAAATAACTAAAACTGAAGTATGAAGAAAATCTGCATATTCTGAGAATTGTCATACAGTTTGATAACGGTGTTATAACGTTTAAAAATGTGTAAAGAATGGGTAAATTTGACCAATAGTGGTAGGTTTAGTGTTAAGTTCAATATTGCCTTGATTTCGTAAATCTTTTTAATGTTTTCCATGCGATGGAGGAAGGAGTCATGTGTAGAAGTTGAGGCAAGTGAGGTAAGTTCTCTGATCGCCATTCACTTGGGAGTGGCCAGAAACGATTCTTCTACATAGGGCTCAAGCAGCTCACGACTTCCGGTCTTTGACCAAGTATACTCTGGTTACCCTAAGAACATCCGTTTGAAGGCGAGCTAAAGTGAGAAGGCGAAATATCCCCTGCATAGAGTTGTGCGCTGGGTTTGGGACCCGCCACGTAAAAAAAACACCCCCAATGAAAAGGAACAACCAGCCTCGGATGAGAGACCCGCCTTTTGATGACGACCATGGCAAACCAAATAAGGACTACGAATTGAGTGCATGCACTTGGAATGTCCAGTCCCTTAATTGGGAAGGTGCCGCTGCCCCGCTGGTTGATGTCTTCGGGAACATAAAGGCTGACATCATTGCCGTCCAAGAAATGCTATAGACGGGACCAGGACAGAGAGGAGTAGGCATTTGTGGCATTTACTACAGGGGCCATATAAAAGAGCGCAAGTTTGTTGTGGGATTCGTGGTGGGAGAGAGAATCGCAGAATACTTTCATTCACTCCGTTGAATGAACGTCTAGCCACAATCCGTATCAAAGCGAGGTTCTTCAACATATCGCTGATTTGCGCCCACGCCCCGACGGATGAGAAGTACGATGTGACCAAAGATGCCTTTTATGAGTGCTTGGAACTCACTTTCTAGAGCTGCCCCCACCACGATGTCAAATCGTGCTTGCGACTTTAACGCTAGGGCGCTACGGTCGATATATTCAGCCTCCACGACGAAATATCCCCAAATGGGTTGAGGCTGATCTGTAGTACTAGATTCCAGCATAAGAAGATGCATAAAGCTACCTGGCTTTCTCCGGATCGAAAAACCACCAACCAGATCGATCGTGTTGTGATAGATGGAAGACACGTCTCTAGTGTTCTAGAGGTACGTACGTTCCGAGGTAATAACATTGAATCGGCCCACTATCTTGTTGCATCCAAGATTCGCACCCGCCTCTGTGCAGTAAAAACCGCGCGTCAACAAAGACAAGGAAGTTTGGACGTCGAGAACTGCAATCACAACAGACAGACGAACTATTTTCTACTCGGCTTGCACTCCTGCTCTCTGAGAGCACTCGTCAACAACTCGGTATAAGAGAACAATGGAGAGAAAACAGGCTGCCTCGCAACGTTACCACCGACCACAACACGTGCGGGATAGGATAGATACCGAGAGTTAAAGAGAAAAGCGAGACGCATTTTCAGACAGAAAAAGGAAGAGGCCGAAATGCGTGAGTACGAAGAGCTTGATAAGCTGGTCGACAGGGGTAGTGCTCGAAAATTTCACGAAAAAATCCGGCGGCTTACAGAAGGTTTCTAGACCGGAGCATACCCCCAAAAGATTATCTAGTCTTTGACCAAATATCCGCAGGTTACCCTAAGAACATCCGTTTGAAGGCGAGCTAAAGCGAGAAAGCGAAATATCCCCTGCATAGAGTTGTGCGCTGGGTTTGGGACCCGCCACGTAAAAAAACACCCCCAATGAWAAGGAACAACCAGCCTCGGATGAGAGACCCGCCTTTTGATGACGGCCATGGCAAACGAAATAAGGACTACGAGTTGAGTGCATGCACTTGGAATGTCCGGTCTCTTAATTGGGAAGGTACCTCTGCAAAGCTGGTTGATGTCCTCGTTAGAGTAAAGGCTGATATCAGCGCAGTCCAAGAAATGAGATGGACGGGACATGGACTGAAGCGAGTAGGTCCTTTTAGCATTTGCTACAGTGGCCATACAAAGAAGTGCAAGTTTGGTGTGGGATTCGTGGTGGGAGAGAGACTCCGTTGGGGAGTACTATCTGAATGATGGTGGATGAACGTCTAGCCACAATATTCATCAAAGCGGAACCGTTGGTTTGCAAAAAATGCAAAAGAAGAGCTGGTATGCCGAGCAGCGCCATGTCGCAGCGGAAAGAAAACAGACTGCCTACCTCGTAACGTTACGATCGTCCACAACACGTGAGGGATGGGAGAGATACCGAGAGTGGAAGAGGGAAGCGAGACGCATTTGCAGACAGAAAAAGAAAGAGGCCGAAATGCGTGAGTACGACGAAAGAATTGAAAGCATGCACAAAAAAGGAGACCCCATAATGTACGCCAGCTACCGTAGGATAAGTCTCCTCAACATCGCGTATAAGGTTCTATCGAACGTATTGTGTGAACGTATCAGTGTGGCTTTAGACCTGGAAAATCAACAACCGAACAGAAATTCACCATGCGCCAAATTTTGGAAAAGGCCCGTGAAAGGAGAATCGACACACACCACCTGTTCGTTGATTTCAAAGCTTTTTTCGACAGCACGAAAAGGAGCTGCCTTTATGCCGCAATGTCTGAATTTGGTATCTCTGCAAAACTAATACCTCTGTGTCAACTGACGTTGAGAAACACTAAAAGTTCCGCCAGGATCGGGAAGGCCCTCTCCGAGCCATTCGATACCAAACGAGGTTTCAGACAAGGCAACTCTCTGTCGTGCGACAACTTTAATCTGCTGCTGGAGAAAATAATTAGAGCTGTAAAACTTAATCGAGCATCTACAAACATTTATAAGAGTTTACAGCTGCTGGCTTATGCCATGCAATAACCTTGCCAACCGATTTTTCGTCTTTCCTCGCTTCAGAATCGTTTCATAGTATGCAGTCCACTAGGCCGGCTGTCGATTGGGCTCGGTTGATTTCACTGGTACACAGTAAAACTTCAACAGTATTTTTCCCCCAAAAACCAAAGCTTTATTACAACACGAAATGCTTTTTGATTCTTTTTTTGCTTAACCTAAATGCTAAATCTCCTTAACTAATAGTTATAATCAAACTAATAGAAATCATATATATTAGTACTATCTATGTATCAGCTACAGTAAAACGTGGACGGGTCCTCGTGTTAATAATATATTTCACCCTTATTAGCTCTGTTTACTTATTTTCAAAGTTATACCAAGATATATTCCTAATCGAAAGTGCTTTTGATATGCATCTGTAGTCCTCAATGGGAAAAAAAAAGTGGACTTAAGCTTCAGTTTTTCGGCTTTTAAAGTGTTTACTTCTAATGAAAGTTGTGTATATATTTGTTCCATTTCCTCAAGTTTTTCAATAACTCGTTACGTATTTTTTGGCTGTTTTATTTAATTAACCCCCTCCTGTAGGTGGTGTCTTAATAATTGGCATTACTTTCAAAATTTGCTTATAATCAAGTATATAAACAATTGCGTATAAACAATAAAAAAAAAAAAAATACCATATAAACAATACTCTGTACCTCAGTTACCTTCTAAATAATTATTGATATAATTTGTTAGTATACTTGTAGGCTAAGGTACAGAGAGTCAATGTGTTTTAACGTGAATACGTGTCTATGAAAGTAACAAGCAGAGTTGCCAGAGTTATTTCTGTCTCGGGTGGGAATGCTGCTCCCGGGTGAAACTGTCGAAACCTAAAAGAAATGAAAGTTTGGATACTAAGTAGTGTAATTGAACCCTTCTATAAGCAGTAGATTTTGGGAAGCCGATGGAAATCTGGCGGGTAAAGATATGGAAGAAATCTTTATAAGCAGCGGAATTGCTAGCACTACCAAAATAACCTCTGCTCGACTCATGAGGGGCTCTACAGGTGACAGAAAAAAGACCACACCATCCAGAATGCAGACTTCCGCTTGGCAGCCAAAATCGTGGAGCGCTACGGTGACAAGCATATCTGAGAAGCCATATTCAAGTCGGAATTAAGAAAGGCTAAGTGAACCTCATAGAAAACGTCTGCGAACAAATTAAGGGCTGCCATAAGTCGGGTCACTAACTCAATGAAACCATATCAGTTCTCCGGTCCGGATAGCATCGTACCAGCGTAGCTGCAGGCGAATCAATGTTACTTTTATCACGAAGGGTGGTATGACCTCACTTCACCGTCAAAAATTCTGCGTCGTAACTAATTTGGCGGTCGGAATTAGCTTTGCCATTATCCGGAACAATTTTACTAGCCGATACAAGACCACGGAGGCATCGCTTCCGCGGAGGCAATGAAGTATTTAGGGCTCGTCGTAGACAGGAAGAGGTGCCAATAATCTCTCAATAAAAACAGTTCACGAGCTCTACGCCAACATAGTCAATCCAATTATGTTCTATGGTTTCTTTGTGTGGTGGTATTGAAAGTTGTGGGTGAATAGAAACCGCTGGAGGAGACGCTGCCCCTTTCCTTTGATGGTCCAAAGGGCATCAGCCGGATTTTACAGCATTTCCGAAAAACCGCTATATTGTCAGAATCTTTCTACGAACTTCAGTTCAGACTTAGTGACTATTGCAGTTTTTTCAAGCTGACGTAGTCATTATGGTAGTGGTAGATTTACTTCTCCGGAGTGCAGCCTATTTCAGAGGAGTAACTATCCATTTTGAAAGCAGAGCGGCGATACTAGCCCTCAGCTCACCAATACTTCGTTCCGAGTTTGTCTTACCTCATTATCAATTGCATCGAGACCCTTCGTGATGAGACTATAAATATAACTGTCCCTTTCCCTTTCCACGATCGTATTTGGCTCTCTTTTCCCAGTCTTTACTAAAATAATCAAAAAAAAATATGAACATAATATATTTAATTTCAAAGGACTAGTTTATTTTGTATTTTTTAATAAATAATAAAAAATAAATAGATTCAAAAAAGTGGAATGAAAGGCTGCATATTGCAAAATATGTTAACAATATTTAAACCGATGTCCTGGATATAAAATTGTTTAATTCATTGTCTTCAGCGGAAGCTGAAAAAATCGATGTGTTTGTAACATTAACATCTTGAGGACTCGGCAACGCTATTGGCCTACATTGTCCATCGCTGTTTAGTTTGTTCATGGTTATGGTAGATTCCGACAGTGGTGCCAAAGTTATTCTACCTAATTCCTTCTCCGTTGTTTCAAGCATCGACTCTTTTGTTGATATGAGCTGCATTTCATTGTACCCAGTACTAGAAAGGCCGTTTGTTTCATTAGAGTCACATCCGCCGATCATTTTTAAAGGTTTCTGTATCCGTGATGAATTGAATTGCAGTTGATAATGCTGCTGCAAGGTGGCAGTTGCATAGGATTGTTGAATACTGTTAGCTTCATGTTCAATAACCCTGCGCTGGCTGGTTCGATATTGCTGATTTAAGGCATTTCTCTTTTGTTGAAACGGTTTTGGGGATGTTTGATCCTTCACACAGACTTTAGAAACGAGAAGAGCCCTAGATAGTTGACACTGATTTTGTTGTTTTCGTTCTCTTCCACGCTCAACATGTTTTTTTCGTTCTTCTTTGGGCCAGTAACGTCCTGTTTTTACTTCTGACATATTATCCTCCTCCGCGGTTGTTGAAATATCTCTATTACGCATGTGCTCTGTATTAATGCGAATAGAACGATTTTGTACCATGCAGCGGTTACGAGCAGGACGACGAACAATATATCTTGTTCCATCTTGACGACGTTTAACTTTCCAAACCATAGCTTCATCTTTCGAATGAGGTTTTTGGTTAACGTAAGTGTTGGTAAGTAAAGGTACTGTTGTTACCAGCTGAGAACCAGTTCTAACCTAAAATATACAATACAACATATATATATCCGGAATATTTTTTGAAGGATTACATCATGTTAAATTATGTGTATGCATACTTATATTTTGAGACGATTCTTTCTTTGCGCTGTGTAGCTCTGAATGCATAGCTACATAAGGGCATGTGTCAACCCTCCCTTTAGTTTCGTTACTGAAACAACCTTGGGACGGCAACTACCTTTTCGAGGGACAGATAGCCGCTCTGAGTGGGGACATAATCATCATGGACAAGAAGCATAAAAACAAATCCTTTCGATGACGATGGGAAGCGAAGAGAGGGAGGGAGTTCTGCTCTCGGGGCGACGGAACCGGTCACCTAAAAGCAGTAAAAGGATCGATACCAAGTCATAGAAGTTCGCGGTCGGACCCTTCTATAAACAGTAGATCGGGAAAGACGGTGAACATCTCGCGGCTAAGGACGTGGGTGGATACTTTTTAAGCGTGGAGAGCTACGGTGACAAGCATGCCGAACAAGTATCTGAGCAGTACAAGTCGGTGATATTAAAGGCCAAAAGGACTTCAAATAAAACGTCTGTAAACAAATAAAAGGCTGACAGTAGTCTTATAGATCATATAGTTACAGGAACCCTGTAACGTGGGTTATCTTAAGGTTTTAAATGCAAAGTGGGCCATTGTCTCTCACCGAAAGTATTCTACTGGCTCCATAGTCAATCTTATTATGTTCTATGGGATCTTTATGTGGTGGAGAGCTCCTGAAAAGACCACACGTGCAAGGAAACACACATCACCATGTGTTCACTCCAATCACGGCACTTAATGGCATTCTGCATAGTGTGCCGATATATATCGTCTGAAGATGTATGCCCGGGAAAGACACTGCCCTTCTTGTTTGAGGGGTCAAAGGGCATCAGCCCGACTTCCTGATTATTGCAGTGGTTTTCAAGCTGATGCTGCTGCTCTTAAGGTAGTGGCTGCTCCGGAGTGCAGCATCCAGCCTTGGGCTCACTAACGATCCGTTCTGGGTCGGCTAAGATATGCCTAACCTTGTTATCAATGGCATCGATTCACTTTATGATAAGGCTGATATGGGTGACAGGCCACAGCGGGATGGCAGGCAATTATAAAGCAGATGACCTGGAAAGAAAAGATTCCATAGCTCCGCTATCACTATAATGGGACCGGTTCGGTGCTTCCTTCTCCTCGTGTGTTCTACTACTGGATAGTAGTACTACTTAGGCTTTCCACCGAATACATTAGAGACATTAGAAAAAAAATGCAACTGCCTGAAATCTTCTCTTTTTTTAACAACTATATTATTAAATTAAGCAAGTAAGGAAAGGCTAAGTTCAGGTGTAGCCGAACATTACACACTCTCGAAATTTGTGTGAATTACATGTATGTATATATTGGGATTTTAATAGTCTAAGAAAAAGTGATGTGTTGGGATAGTTTCATATGAAACCAAAAGTAGGTAGCATAAAAAAATACCCATTCGAAAACTTATAGCTTAGACAATAGCTTAATTCATTACAGTAACGAAGATACAGTGAGGAGAAAGGTGAAGACATATTTGCATTTTGGCATTCGAGAGCGAATAAAACAGAAAACAGTAAAGCAAACGAAATATATAGTGTATTACAAAGTAGCAAAAAATACTCAACGAAGAGCTTGGAAGAGAAATAAAAAAAATGAAACAACACCAACTCATATGTTCTCAGTTATGTACCTTTTTCATTTTAATTTTCCGATCAGTAAAATTTTCAAAATTTACAGTAAATTTCATTAGTTCTTTGACAAAATTAAAGTCATTACATTTATTTGAAATATAGACGTGGTATCATCAGCGTAGTAGATTCTAATTATTATATAAATGTTTACACCGAATCTGAAATAGTGTTTCAGCAAGAGATCGAAACACATTTCAGAAATCTTGCCTCAACCCAATTAAAAATTTATGGTGTATTAGAAAAAAGACGGTTGGCAAAATGTCCATCATCTCCACCAAACCTGGTAGATTTGCGGCAAAGTGTGCTGAAGTATGCTTAATCGCATAGGAAGTGTTACAAGGTTCTCATAAATATTTATACTATTATATAATAAAATAAAGCTATAGTTTTTACTGATAACAGAATTGACTGATATCAAGTAAACCGAAAATTCTTAAATTATATGAGGTATCTGAGGGATAGCAGATATATTGAATCATTTTTAAATAATTTTAACACAAAATCACACTGTTATCACAAAAGATTGAATTTCAATAGCCACACATAGGGCTGCTCGGGTATACATATTCTGTATCTGAGTTCTTAAAAAGTTGTGGTCCGATTTCTACCACTTTCTAACGTGAGATGGCATATCTTAAAGGCCTTAATTGATCAAACGCAACACTTTATTTCGATTGCGTCATTTTCCATCAATTGCAAAACGAAAGAATCAGACTTAGGGCGATGTCATGCCCACTTTACAATTTCGAGGACTCATGTAGGTTGTAAAATCGAATGTAATTTAGTGCGTTAACACTCTTTAGTAGTGAAAATGGTCCAATTAAGCTGATCAGCGATACGAATCTCCAAACATATTTCAATTTTTACTTAAGTTATGACTTGCAGGGATAGATAGGCCGAAGAACACACGAACAGTAACTCGTCCTGTCATCCTGATAATTTATATCTATCTTGATTAGTTACAGGTGTTACAAACAATCGCTAGTTGAATAAAACTATTATACTCTCTACTGCAACATGTAGGGAGAGCAAAGTTGCTAAAAAATTTAATGGAGAACAAAAACAATTTTATTTCATTATTTCCCTATGTATGAGTTGTTTTTGTTATATTTTTTTCTCGACTCACATGATTATATATTTATCATTTGATAATATTTCGCAATTTTTAGTATATTACATCTAGAATAATAAAGTTGTTCATCTGTTTTATTTTTTATTCGCTCCGTTATACGAAACATGCAAATATTTACTCACTTTTGCTCCCCACTGTATTTGTATTAGCAACAAACCTCTTGACTGCTAACAAAATGATATTGACTTAGGTTTGGTGCAATGAATTGAGGACAGCATGAGCTCTGTAGATGAAGAATTTTATCCCGCGTCAGCGATTGAGACAAATGATAGTGTTGATGTTGTGAAATCGCATTTGGAAACACACTTTTGTTAAAGGTCTGGTAAGATTCATTATTAAATTTGTGGTTTGGTGAAAATGTAGGTTGTTCTTCTAAAGTTGCATTCAATAAAAGAGTTTCGCGAAAATCTGTTGAACCACCTGAAATAACTAAATAGGGATACATATATGATTTATTAATATATATATATATTTTATATAAATAAATACACGGTAAACAAACATACCTAGATTACTACTTAGAGTTTGTGGAAGCTGCGTTATGCTATCAATGCCAATGTTATTCAAGACATGATTAGTTTTGGCCTTCGATTGTTGGAAATTCTGCGTTTTGAAGTCTTCACGTACACCATAACACTTACCATTTGGATTCAGTGCCGAGACAAATTGAACCGTACTATTATTTGATCCTTCCGTATTGTAAGCACTAGAAGAGTGATCAAGTTCTTCATCTTGCAAAAAATCTATTCTATTGCCCACACCGCTATTTGCGCTGCCTCCACTACTACTTGATCCATTTGTTATAGTTGTTAAGGTACTGGAGACAGTATTATTTTTTTTATTTGTATCGCTATTCCAATATTTACGAATACAACTGCTAGTACTTCGTCCAGATTCTTTGATAGCATTTTCCGAACCCGTCATAGGAGTAGAACATACATCTAACCATTTTACTAAGTTTTTCTTTTGTTGCAACTGTTGCAAAGAGTCGGTAGCGGCAGATGAACAGGACCCCAAAGCCGTAACATATGTTGAACTCTCATAGGGGGAGCAATAAACTGGCTCCAATTCTGAATCTTCTGGTATAGTTTCATATATATGTTCTGCCGTATCGTAATTGCTATCTCTTTGATCATTTGATTTTTTTCTTGACGATCCAAGCGTTGTTGGTGTACGAAAAATAAGCTGGTCAACTTTGGATGGCCGTAAATTCCTTTTTGATAAGTTGTGTTCCTTTTTTATATTTTGCTGTAAAGCAGGACTAGGCAACTGCTCAATACTTTTTTCACAACCAAACATAGGGTTCTTTTCCGGGCTATCTGCAGTATCTGCATCTCTTTGCTTGACATTACTAGGATGGGCTAATATTGTCACGGCCGTAGAAGGTACTGTTGTTATTGAGGGTCTTTGTTCACTAAAAGTAGATTGTGGTTGTTTGATTTTATTGTCGTGATGAGTTACTAAAGCCTTTTCTAAATCTGGAGTGGCTACGTTCTGTGGAAAACAAATATCATAAGTCATATTATTTTCAGCGTAATACTCTTCATTCTCGGCGTCATCCTCTTCATCGATTTCTATATCAGCCAACAAAGGTTCGTTGAACTCGTCCTCCTCCTATAATGGTCAAACACTAGAAATTAATGTTTACTTGTAGATAACAATTTCAAAATAATTTAACCACTGAAATAACGTTAATAACTATATAAATAAACCAGCTATCAACAAGTGAAAAAATTAAAAAATATTAATAAAATATATGTTTACTTAAAGACAAGAAAAACACTAACTTTGGTTGCACCGAAGTTAGAATACCTTTCACAAACAAATTCTATATAAGAACTTGATTTTGAACATTCTGTTTGTATGACAGCTATATATTGTAGTCGGATATAATTTTAATCAACATATAATTATTTTTTTATCGTTAAAGAAACAGTACTTGAAAACCGTTGGGTTGCCATCAGAGAGATAGCAGGCATCTCTATGTCTCTTAAGGATCGACTTAACATTGGTTGGTTAAAGTTTTAAATATGAAGAGTGTCAATGCCAAACACGTACCAAAAGAACTGAAAGCGCCGTCACATTATACCATGATTGTGACTGACTTTTTGACTAAACACGAAAAGAGAATCATTGCAAAGACATCGTTATTGCCAAAACCGAAGAAATCGCTTTGGGCATAACATCATGACGTCATTGAAGCCATTATAAGTTACTCGTGTAAGGCTCTAAGCCCGGGGTCTATACCTAGGATATGGTAAATTAGATTAAGCGTCAAAAATACTATATTTTGAACATGATAATAAATACAAACATAATATACAGTAATTACCGCAAAAAGATATCGGCTGACTAAAAGAGTTACAGCATTATTATTTTCCGCTATTAACAGTTCGGTTTCTTCTTTATTTTTGATATCCTTTCCATTGATTTGAAGTATTTGATCTCCTTGACGCAAGCGACCGTCTCTTCCAGCTACACTATCCGGTTGTATACCACTTATGTATACTTCAGTGCAGACATCGTTGTCGTCAGAACTAGAAAAGGCCCCATTATTTTCGCCGCTATTACCGTTGCTGGCGGAACTATTATAACAAACAATTAATCCCAGTCGTTCGTTGCTATCTGACTTTCGCAGTGTTATTTCCTGAAAGCAGTATTTATGAATATTCAAAAAGAAACATTTGTGAAGGAAAAACAATACAAACTCACTTCTACATCAATTTCTGGTGCCATACATTGATCTAATAAATTATGTTCATGTTCAACGAAATGATCAGCCGCTTTCTTTGAACTACCATAGAGATAATAACTAGTGTCAGTTTGAGTTGTCTTGCACACACGCTCAATACAAGTTTCTAAATTTTTCGAAGACTGTGACTGGTTTATAGCTACAACCAATTTTATTTTGACAGATGTATTTGAAGAGCTATTTTTTACCGACAGTCCTTTCGTGGTTTCTGCATTTGGAGTAATTTGAAGAACATCCGACTTGGATATAATATGATCGGAATCTTGTTTGCCATAATTGCTATCAGTAATGTAGCTTTCGTTACAGCTATATTTCCTATGAATTTCTACAAGCAACGGCTCGCCGGCAGTAAGGAACATTTGAACCAATTTTTGTTCTGGTAATTGATTTATATCGGCGCCATTAACCTATGGAAGTATTTCAATATTGAATGTAAATTTTATTTAAAATGTTATCCTTACCTTCAAAACGACAAAGTCAATTTCGGCCATAATGGTACAAGGAAATAGTTATGTAGTCTAGGATAAGGTGTCCTTTAGTATTATTCCTTTGTTTTGCAAATTTCCTAAAACCATAAATATAAATTTTTACATATTATGCAATAAATTTCAGATTGCACAACATTTAACAAAAATCATATTTTCAGTATTTCAACAATATGTATACCTTCATTCCTTACATATTATCCGATACATATATAATACATTAAGTGGTCAGAAGAGTAAGCGGGCCTGTCTTTTCGACTTTTTTATATATAGAAATTTTTATTCTATAATAAAACTTTTTTCAGATAGCATGAGGTATATCGTGGAGTGTATAAACAAGTTTTTTGATGACATCTGTCGGTGAAATGGCTGGGTGAATGTGATGCGTTTTTTCACTGGCGGACACGATTACCCATGTTTTTTCACATAAATTTTATCTTAACATTGTCAATAAATTATAAAAAAATTATGGATTATGAAATTGGGACGATATCCAGGCGTTTTGTGAACATTAAAAAAAAAACTAAGCAAATCGGTGGAGTAGTTCGACCGAAATCATGTCCGCCAGTTTAAAAAAGTGTGTTTGAGAAAAACTCGTTTAAAGTTTGAAGTGTGCACTCTGAGCGCTCCGAACATCGAGCGGTATTATTATTTTTGGACCTTTTTCGAAACCTTCCAATGGTAAAGTGGGTTTCTACATTAATTCTAAAAGTACAAAGGAACAGAAAATGCAAAAACAAAAAAATGGGATTTTGCCCACTTTTAACACTGTTACACTCTGTGCAAACATTACACGTTTATGACAATTATTTACCAGTTAAGAAAGATTATCAAATATTGATAGATTTCACACATCCCAATAAAGTCACGTCTACGTAAGATGAACGTAGCCAGGGTGTTATCTGTATTTTTAAGATTGCGTTCATTTTTTTTTTGGATATATAATATATTCAAATATAAGTATTGCCGCTTTCCAAAGTAAATAAAAATTATCATTGTCACCTTGTCCAGTCTAGTCGTAGGCAATATTTACAAATATGAAGGTTGCAGGGTGCTGAGATGTCCAGCCCAGATGATTGCATGTAATTTTCGCCTTCAAGTAGAACTAATTTTCAGTTCAGGATATCATACTATTAAAACGAGAGTGTTCAAGTTGTCATATAGAACCTTGTGTAAGAATTAGGAAGGAGGAATAAAGTCGGTGAAAAAGCTCTTAACCAATCGGCGTACTTAAAGAGATACGAGCTTCGCCAAAACTGACGATCTAAAATTTCAATTATATGGTATCAGTATGAAATACTACTTGACAGTGGGTAATTTCAAAATGTGACCGGATCAGTGGACCGATAAGGAGACAATTTTCCTAAAAAAGTCAGCGCTGTAAAACAAAGCGACCTACCGAAAACGGGGCTAGTACGATATAAAAATTTCACTAGTTTGCACAACAGCTTGATAATTTTAGTAAAGCGATAACTATAAAATTTCAACCATTCACAGAAATCCACAAGACAGCATATTTGGTACCATCTCATGCTTCTTTATTAAGACACCATATATTATTGGTGACTGATCAGTAAAATTATAAGATACACTCATCATATAGTCTTCAAATATCATCATTATTTATCAGCAAAGCCGAAATACTATTAAACAAAATATCTAAAAAATTAGACACACACACACATGTATTAAATTGTATAGTTACAACCCTCGATATAAGTCTATCATCACGGTCTGTCAATACGGCAAAAACTATAGTGATCCCTTTTACTAAGCGATGATCTCTTCCGAGCTTTAGACCCCTAAAGATTGGAGGCAGGGAGGTGGAGGTGTCGAAAGAGGTCAAATTCCTTAGCCTCACATTAGACTCATCCTCAAATCCTGGGGATGCAAGCCAGGTATCATTAGATGGCTTTATACCATGATTGTAAGGCCTATTGTCACCTATGGAGCGGTTGCTTAGGCTGTCAAGGCAACGCAAATCTGCAAAGGCTTGCATGTGTCTGCTCTTCAGGGGCAATGCGCATATGCCCCACTGCGGCGCTTGAAGTCATACTAGATTTAACAGGTAGCGAAACATACCATGATGCTAATGTCGTCTCAACAGATGAAGGCACTAGCGGAAAGCACACCACTAGCCCTTCTCCCACGGAACGGCGTTACAAAGAGGATTAACTTTGCAGAGAATTTTGGAGTTTTTCTAGGCGGTAAGACCGAGGCGAATGACTCCACGCTTGACACACTATACATTTTTTGCTATAAGTCAGTGCGTAGAAATCAACCTCCACCACAACTATCGCAACGAGGGCATCGCTATTTTTAGCGACAGTCAAGCGGCACTAAAAGTGATCTCAGCATATGAGGGCAAATCGCTTTTAGTAGAGGAATGCATAGGAAGGCTGAACCGCCTATCTTGCTGCAACAGGGTGCACCTAATGTGGGTGGCGGGGCATAAAGAGGTAACAGGAAATGAGAAAGCCGACGAACTAGCCCGCTCTGTGGCAGCGTCCAAGATGATGGGACCAGAGCTTAACTATGCAGCACCCATATGGGAAACTACAGACCTGCCAGAATACAGCACTCCGGACCACGACGGGATGCCTCTTGATGTCTCCCATCGAACACCTACATAGTGAGACGCTTATGCTCCCATTTAAGGAGCATAACGAACTCCTCTCCAAGCAGTTCCTGCTGAGATGTTTTCGTAGAAATCATCCTCGCAGTCATCTGCTTAGAGCGGAACCGCCTCCTAGGAGTATCAAGAGGTCATTCCTTGATCACGTCGACAACATGGAACAATATGCCAACAGGACCTCGGACGCAACTGACTTCCGACGGGCACTGACCGCCTTTCACAGTGGAGCCATCAACACCTTCACCGACTCCCTCCCGTGAATGGCGTACTTGGAGTCAAATCACCACCCATAGCAGACGAAGAGCTCAAGTTGCCGCGGGAAACGCGAGTGACCCTTGCGCAATTTCGTTCTGGATATTGTAGCAGGCTAAACTCCTACTTATCTAGAATAGACCCTGACATACCCAGCATATGTCCTGCATGCAACGAGTCTCCGCCTGACACTGGCCACCTCTTTGCATGCCCAACCAACACCAACCAACCTCACCCATCTAACACCCTTTTCCCTTTGGTCCGACCCCGTCGAAACAGCACGTTTCCTGGGCCTCCCGTTAGATGACATCGACGACAACACTGATAACCCTTACCATCCCAACGGGGACTGATAACCTTTAAAACAACAACAACATGGGACCAGAGCCAATTCCCACGACAGCCGGTTCTACGTACCGGAATTGACTCGGATTTTATCCGACGAAGGGCTGTTTTTTCGGCGATCTAACCCCGTTTGGATCGATGAGTACTAATTTGTGTTCGTCGTCATTAGAGCAACGTCTTGCAGCAGGGTTGCTCCGTATCCTCCTGACTCGTGCTGGCATTGAATCAATCCCGGAGGATCTTTTCTGCTGCGTTTGCGCAGAAAGGCTTGATCCAAACTCCATCTTGGTCGGGTGTAATACATGCAATGGCTGGAGCCATCTTAAGACCTGTTCAGGCCTTAAGACCCATAGGGAGTGGACCACGCGTTACGTGGCCAAATGTTCTCTGCGCAATACTGCGACACAAGCCTCTGCAGCTGTGCAATCTGCACATAGTTCGCGCGCCGCCCCACCCCCAGGATCACTCACGGACACCCGCGACAAACCCGATTACTTCAATTTAACTGCAACGGACTCCAGAGCAAGATCGAGGAGATAGTTGCACCTATAAATCGGGAACGTGTATTGATAGATGCAGTCCAAGAAACCAAGTTGAACAACCTCTCAAATCTTCTGAGTTGTGCTGGTTTCATCGTTTTACGTAAAGATCGCGAGCGAGATATTGGTGGTGGCCTASCCTTCATATTGCACAACTCCGTGCAGTATCGTCTAATCGATGTAGACATCGACCGCAGGGATACTACCCTAGAATGTCAGGGCATAGCTATCTGGTCGGGCGATGTCGAGCTCGAAATATTTAATATTATATATACATCCCCCCAGTTACATGTTGCCCTACAGGATATCACCCGAATATAGGTGCGCTACTTCGTGGTGAGAACCGTCTGGTACTAGGCGACTTTAACGCGCATCACGATCTTTGGCGTTCCTGCCTGTCAAATGATCGTAGGGGGATGGAGCTTGCGGAACAGATTGACGGTTCGACTTTCTGCACAATGAATGACGAAGCCCCCACCAGAATTATGGGCATCTGTAATAGCTCGCCTGATATTACCATTGCTAGCGGTGGTCTGATAAATAGCATAACCTGGCGACCTATGCTAACTCTCRCATCATACCATCTGCCCATAATTATCTCGATCGAGAAGCCTCCCGATTGTGGATAACCGTACCCACATTAACCGTAAAAAAAAAGCTAATTGGGTCGGCTTCACAGAATGTACCGAGAGCACCTTCAACGCTCTACCTATTCCTATGGACGTATGCGTCGGCGAACGTCAATTTCGCAAGGTGATCGCAGCAGCTACCGCTCGCTTCATACCAGCTGGACGAATAGCGGAAATCCGCCCCAATTTCCCAGCCGAAGCAGCCGTTTTAGCTAACGAGCGCGACATCTTACGCCATGCCGATCCCGGAAATCCCCAAATAAGTGATCTCAATTTGGAGATTCGGCGTATGGTAAACCGCCATAAGCGGGCGAAATGGATAGAGCACCTGAAGTCCTGTAACCTCTCCACCGGTGTGAGTAAGCTTTGGGCTACTGTCAAAGCTTTGTCCAACCCGAAGAGACATGACGACCGAGTTGAAGTTCAATTCAACGATCATGTCTCTTCGAACCCGAAAAAGTGCGCGAGCTATTTTAGCCGGCAGTTTACACTGCACCCTTCGGTAGACAAAGCCAAACGATGTGTTAACCGACGGCTGCGCAAAATGCCAAACGACGGCGCGCCACTTACTTTCACCGATGAGGAAGCTCAGGGAGTCATCAACAAAGCAAAATCTTCCAAATCCATTGGCCCTGATGGAATCAACATGCTATGCTAAAGCATCTAGGCCCGAAAGGAGT